TCCTGGCCTGGTGCTAGTCTGACAGTGTGATGACATCGTAGTGGATCCCTGGCTGCAGCTGCTGGATCTGCTCGGCCGCTGCCTCGGCAGCGAAGACACCCTGTGCCTGGGCCATCGCCGCATCCGCCACTGCTGCAGGGGAGCAGAGTCAGAACAGCCACACACCCGTGGCAGGGGGAGTAGGCAGATGCCCAGGGCCCCCCTCCACGTTCCCCACCTGCCCCCGGGGAAAGGGGCACAAGGCCATCTGGTTCATGTGGGGCTCCATGAGGGAGCCCAGCCCCAGTTAACTGTTCCAGTACTGACAGGCTGAGGCCAGCAAAGCTCTGCCCTCGGACACCATGGCCAACAGCAAAACAGCAATCCAGCACTGCCTTCCCAGCCCTCCCATCCTGGGCTGCTACATGGGTCCCTGCCAGCCCTCTGCTCCTACCTGAGACAGCTGAGTGTGCTGCTGCCTCCAGCTGTGCCTGGGTGACCAGCTGCTGCTCAGGTGAGACAGGCATGTACTGGATCTGCAGGGAGAACAGAGGAGCCTGCAGGGGAGGGTCTCTTCTGGAGCTGCTCTGGCCACAGTGGCTGCACCCAGGGACCACAATCACCCTCTATTTCACATCTCCAGCTGCAGGCTCAGGGCCCACCACCTCCCAGCAGCCCTGCCAGCACCTACCCATCATGCCTGGCCCCCTACCTGTGACTCTGGGAGGAACTGGCTGCCCTGTTCATACTGGATGTGGGTGATCTGACCGTCCTGTACCTGCGGACAAGCAATGAGGTCGTGTTAGGGCCTGCAGGTGTCCAGGCCCCAAACAACACTGTGAGCCAAAGGGAGCAAGCCAGAGGGAGCAGGAGGGGGCCCAGTTCCACACACAGCACCCCCATGAGCCCCACTCACTGCATGGAGGGAGCAGACAGCATGAAGCTCACCTGGATGTGATGTCCCTCTGGAACAACAACATACTCTTGGGGAAGCAAGTGTGGGACGCCATCCTGGGCAATAATGTACTGAACCTGCAAACATGAGGATTCACACGCAAAAAAAGTCACCACTGCCCACCTTTCACCCTAACAGGGCTGGTTCTGGTCTGTCTCCTGCACCTGTTTCCACAATACACTGCCACCACCAGCTCTCCCTATTGCCCACTGCTCTCCTTACTGTCCCCAGCTTCCCCTGCTCCTGCTGGGCAGAGCCTCCCATCCCTGGGCCATGTCCCCTCACCTGGTTGTCAGCAGTCACTAAGTGCTGTACTGTCTGTCCATCAGCAGTTGTGATCTCCTGGATGTAGGCTGCCTCCTCCTGCAAGGTCAGCAAGCACCCAGTGTGGTCAGGAGAGCTAGGACTGACCACAACCTCCCAGGAGGGACCCACACCATGGGGGCAGCAGCTGCCCAGGGTGAGAGGATGAGGCTGAGGGGCTCATCTCACCTGGCTGGTGACACTCTGCTCCTGTGCAACAAGGATGTGCTCTTGCCCCAGAGCCTGCTGCAGCTGCTCGGGAGCCAACACGGCCTGGCCAGCCTGCAGAGCCGCTGGAACAGAGAGAGAGCTGGTGGGGACACTGCCAGGGCTGCCAATGGCCCCACTCCCCAGAGGCCACTGCCTGGTGAGGAACACAGGGCAGTCTCTTGGCTCTGCTCACACAAGGTCAGAGGTAAACCAAACTCCCTCAACATGAAGGAAACAAGAGGTGACTGTGGGCAGAACACATCCTCCACATCAGACCCTGACCTCCAGTTCCTGTATCAGCATGAGCTGCTCCCACATGCACTGACCTACCATGACCTGCTTGGAGGATCCCTCGTTCTGCACAGCTCCCTGGTCTCTGTCCCCACCCACAACCCCACCCACAGCAGGAACCTCCTGGCCCTGACCAGCCTGCAGGCTGGGTGGATCCCAAACGGGGCTCCGGCCATGGGACACCCACAGGTCAGCTCTGGTCATGGGAACACGTCTTACTGTGCAGGGTGGCCAGGGTGTCCTCGTCACTGTTCAGGATGATGGTCTGCTGGGCAGCAGCTGGCCCTGTCCTCTTCCCCTCTGAGCTGTGCAAACGCTGCATGTGGAACTTGAGGTGCCCATTACGGTTGAACCTATGGGAGAAGCAGTGTGAGGTGCAGTTTGCCACAGGCAGCACAGAGCCCTGTGCTCTCTGCAGATATTCAGGCCATGGGCATCCCAAGCACATCCTATCACACAGCCTGTCCCAGCTCCCAGAATGTTCCTATCAGTGCCCAAATACCTAACCTCCCCATGAAGAGGCTCTGTGGAGACAAAGCTGGGTTGCAGCAATGATTCTCACGGGCAAAGTCCCTGCAAACGTGGGCTGCTCCCATGGAAAAGTCAGGGCAACCAACTCTGCCAAGATTCCGTCTCTTCTTGAGCCTTGCAGAGCTCTGTGGGATCTCCCAAAGCAGGAACAGCCCAGCTGTGTCACTCACCTCTGCCCACAGACCTGGCAGGCGAAGGGCTTCTCATTGGTGTGGGTCAGTATGTGCCTGCGCAGGTCCTTCTTGTTCTTGGAGGCGAAGCTGCAGTGGGGGCACTTGTGCGGCCGGAGATTGGCGTGCTGCACCATGTGGACCTGGGGCAGAAGGACAAGTACCAGGTCAGAAATCCCATTTCTCCAAACCCCTTGTTCCCAGGGCTGCTCTGGGTCAGGGAACCTACCCGGACTTCCGGCCAGAGTGTGGCAGTGAAGGGACAGTCGGGACACTTGAAGGTGCTGGGCCCAATGTGGGCTCTTTTGTGACTCTCCATCTCCGCTCTCCCTGTGAACAAGGCTGTGCAAATCTTGCATGAAAACTTTTTGGCTGTGGAAATCTTGCACGAGAGCTTCTTGGCTGTGGAAACCTTGCATGAGAGCTTCTTGGCCATGCCTTGGAGTGCAGGCCACTTCGTCTTTGGGGATGAGACTTCCTGCCCCTCAGAGGCTGGGGATAAAGATGAGTCCTTCTGGAGCTGCCTGGTGACACACTGCACCAGGGGCCACTTGACGCTGGCAGGCTGTGCCTCCTGGCCCTCTGCAGGCGAGGGGAAGGCAGCGTCTCCGTTGACAGGCTGCGAGAGAAACACCAGTCAGACCTACTCACATTGCTGCCCAGAACAGCGAGAGAAGGCTGAGCTCCTTACCTCCACAGGATGAAACTGGCTCCCTGGGACACTGGATGACATGATGTAGTGATTGCTATGGTCCTTCAGAGCCTCCTCTGTCATCACAGCTCCACTCACCACAACCGCGTGAGAGGTCTCCATAGGGCTCTCCTCACTACTGCAGAGGACAGGGTCAGGGAGGACCTTCCTCCTCCTCACCACTAAAGCCTCCTCACTGGAGGCCAGAAGTGCCTCCACCTGCCCACTCCTCCCATTCAGCTGACCTGTACAGCGTGCCAGGAGCCTGGATCTCCTCACTGATGGGTGCAATGATGCTGTACTCAGTCGTCCCACTGAAGGGGATGGCAATCTGCTGCAGCTCCGAGCCACCCAGGCTCGCCTCCCCATAAGCCTCCTGCACCAGCGTCTGCCCAGGCTCTGCCATGTGCAGCATCACCAACTTCTGCTGTTCCTCAGAGTCTGCCTTTGCCCCCTCCTCCTGTGCCTGCGGCTCACAGGGACCTGATGCCTCTCCTGGGTCACCTGGCTTCACCACTGCCACCTGCACAAGACAGTGGCTCAGCCATGGGGTGTGAGGCTCTGCAATGTGCTCGCAGTGGAATAGGGCTGGGAAGCCTCCCCATGCCACCTCTGCCAGGCCCAGACCCCTTGGCCCTGCTCACCTGCAGCTCTCGCTGAGCAAAAAAAAACTGTGTTGGTGGCCCTCCCTGCGCCCCCAGCCACATCTGGGGGGTAAGAAGGGGAGGGTCAGGCACGCGCTCACCCACCTCCTCCCCACCCCGCTCCCTTCCCGGGATTTCACTCACCTTGTTCATAGATGATGGTGGCCCCTTCCAGGGAACCCTGTGAGAGGACAGAGGGCTCTGCTCCCGTGACTGCCTGGACCGTGTGGCAGGTGATGGGGCCAAGAGGTGCCTGCATGAGAGAGAGAGCTGACAGCATGGTGGGCAGGGAGCACTGGGAGGAGCTGGGGCTGGGCACAGCACTCACCGGTGAGCTGGC